CTTGTTTTAAAATGAAGCTTGGCCGATTCAGAGCGAGCGAAATAAGGAGAATTATCGATCGTTGTTTCAAGGTTTTACGCAAGACGGAAGAGTTATGGCGGTCGGCTGTGTTGGCTCTTCACCGAGATCCGGGCGGCGTCAGCAATCCGCACCGCGTTCCATAAACAAAACCGGATGACGTTTTCATCAAAACAAGTCGCTCTCGCTCTTACCGCACAAACCTACACAGGACTGTGAAATAACATTACCATAAATGTGGTTTTATTAATAATAACAGTATCTCTTTTAATGAACATTGCAGATACATAATAGAAAATAAATCAGAAAACAGAAGAGACGTCGTCTCGAGAGTCGTGAAAGTGCCTGGAATAATTCTGTGCTATATATTGTCGTAATTATTCATCGTCGTCGCCGTTCTAATCAAAGCCACATCACCAAAAATGTCATTACGAAACAAAAGTGTGTTGTACTCCCGCTTTGAAAATGCAAACATTTGCATTCGCGCGGCTTCTCAAAGCAGGACTATTAAACACCAGAGCAGATTCCACGTGTTTATCGAGGCTGATTTCTACTTTGAGAGGCCCGGTTAATAATGACTGTCGCATTTCTGAATATGACTCGATTGTCTTCATCTAAATCATAACATTGTTTGAATTGTATTTACACAATGCCGTATCCAATAGCACGGCAAACCCTTTTTGTTAAGAGTTGGTGCTCTTAAACGTGATCGATACTTTATTTTTCCCAGGAGGTAAAGGTCCGACTGAGGTGAATAAATACAGGCCTGGCTCTGATTGAAAATTCTAGACTGCCAATGTTTAGCTTTTGGCAAAATGTTCAACTGCCAGCACAAAAGGAATATCCAGGCCTGCTCTCAGATATTCCACAAACAAAAAAAAGTGATGAGCTCAAGAAGATAAAAGGAGAACAAACACAATTTCTCATTCATTGTTTACAAGCTCATCACTTTGCATATTTCATGGCACTAAATAAAACATGTAAGATATGCAGGTATTTTAGTGTGGAGTTAGTTTCTTGAAAAACAAACGTGTGGCGCTGCTGCAGGAGGATTCCCAGGGGACGCGTCAACAGAGCTCCGCTGCGTCCATCGCACCGGCTACCCTGGAGAGGGAAGGACGTTTTCACAGCGACGACTGCTTAATCTGGCACACTTTGGTCTAAAGTAGCCTTGTTTTTGTAGTTACGCACTATAAATCAGGGTCTAATTGGCATGTTCAAATACATTCTTGTCAATCGGGAGCATTATTGCAATCTGGAGAGGTTTCCTTCTAAAAGGCTGTTGGGTTTTAAGGGAGGACTGTTCAGCCCCTGTAGATCAAATACAATCACCTCAATGTTACTTTAGATTACTATTTCAGAACTTTATCACAGTCTTTAAGGTAGCTCAGATGTTTGCCGACTCATTTTGAAACGGAACTATTCGTCGCCGTTGGGCCGAGCGGTCGCTGGGAAATGCTCTGCGGGGAGATGCCGGAGCCCCGTTGAATTCCCGGCGCGTTACCGGGGGACAAATCGCTTTAAAGGGGAATGGCAAACAAATAGCACAGCTGTCATTTCAGAGGAAATGGATAACTGAGATTTAGCCCTGGACAGCCTCGTTTGGTCCTACGGAGGAAAGCGGGTAGAACAAATGCTTCGGGTGACGATGGCTTTCTTCTCCGCTCGTGCTGACATCGTCGATAGCTCTGTCCCTGTTGTACCGACTGGAGCGCTGCAATGACACTGAAATTGACAAACACCATACAAAAAGCCTGCCCGGCTGCAATCGGAACCGTGTTTGAAATGTCAAAACCACCCCTTTCAATCATGAAAACACAAACAAACCTTGTTTTTCCATCTTGCAATCTAAGGGTAAGACATTTAGTGAGTGACTTATTGATTTTTGTGAGCTATGCAGTTCCACGTAACAAAACGATATTTCTTTTCCCCGGGATTTGTCCGATTCCTTCAATCAGAAACTTCAAAGGTATAACTTCTCTGAGCAAATATCCCTCAGTTACAAAAATATACTTCTTTTTTTCATAAAATAAAACACATAATTACTTTTCAGTGATATAATAATCTGTTAAGGTAAAGAGCAAGGCTGTTTTTTTTGTTCTTTTTAAAGGAAATGTTTTAGTGAGAGAAACAGAGGTGTTGAAGCCTAGCACCGTGTTCTTAATTTTCAAAAGGGATTCCGGCACAATCCGTGCAGGAAACACGCCGTTTCCCTTATGTCCGGACCCCGAATTTTGCATATTCTGGTCGAGCCCAGACCGACAACCTTCAAATCCCCGCCCTCTCCCTTAAGGGGTGTTACTTTAAACTTTGTCATCCTCCCCAAAAACCACCCAAAACTTTAAACTATACCGGCCGACAAATTAGGATCGAGGTAACGATTCGACCGACGCGTCTCAAGGGCCGTTGCTTCGCTTTTGTACAAACTGAAACGGAAGAAAACAAACGGTCCCAACTGATGATAAAACATAAAGAAGAAACAAGTCCCAAACACTGTTGCTACAAAGAATTAGAAAAACGTATGTACAGGACCCTGTATTCCTCGACTCTCTGGGTAAATGATCGTAGGTGTTGGCTCGTGATACGTGAGTGTTTATACAGGCGTACAAAAATGTTCTCCTTGCTTCTTTTTCATTCTTGTTGAGTTTCAATAAAAGCTCATACTGGACCAAAACAAAACAAATATTTTGCCACTACCTCTAGTTTGTCCAGTGTGTCTGATGTGCCCCCCCCCCCCCCTCCCTGTTATTTCCTGGTGCAAATTCAACAGCAGCAAGTAGCTTAGTGGCCTTCACATCCATCTGGCTCTGGTGCATTCACGGTCCAAGAGTCAGTGCCGAGTCCTCCCTGTCGCAGACGTCAAATAGACCCGCCGCGTCTCTGTCACCAGATGACACTGGATATACTGGTCTCTCGGGGAAGCAGCGGCAGCATGGCGTTGTTGCCGTGGGCTTCGTCCAGACTCTGCTGGCGGGGTGACTTGGATTGTGGCCGCTGGCCGTTGATGAGCGTCATGGGGATGTTGCAGTAGGTGTGCTGGTTGCCCAGCGAGGACAGAGGCGGGAGCGTTCCGCCGGGCGGCAGGTCGTAGTCGTAGCTACGGTAATAGTGTTTCTGCCTCATCTGGGTGTGGCAAGAGTTGTGAAAGGTCGAGCGCAGGTCGGGGTGTGCCGTCGCCATGGCGGTGGAGGTGGCCGCTGCCATGGAGATGGCCGAAACGGTCTGGAGCTCGCCAAAGGGGCCTTGCTCGCTGACGTCCAGAACCTGCTCGTGGGAGATGCTCAGGGGCTCCATGCGCTTGAAGGGCATCTCGTAGAGAAGCTGCTTCCAGAACTTGGAGTTGAGCTTGTTGCTGGACGGCCCGCGCCACTTGATGACCGTCAGCATCTTGATGGTGTGTTTGAGGGCCTCCACTTCCTGGTAGTTCATGATGCCGCGCAGTTCGGCACACTCGATCAGGATGACTTTGATCTCGCCGGTCACCAACATGTTGCGCAGCCGCGTCTCCAGTTCAAAGATGCTCCACCCCCTCCGCATTACGAAGCTGGGCGTCATGACGATGATGAGGCGCTTGCTCTGGTCCACGCAGCGCGCTACATCCTCGATGTAGGCTGCATGCACACAGGTAAAGAGACAGACGTACAACTTAGTTTCAAAGCATTTTTTCTCTTGGTATTGTTTTTTGGTATTGTTTGGCATTTCCTCATGACAATTTGATTCAACATTCAAGAGTTTAAGGGAGATCAAGATATGGTGAAACAAATCACACGGGCTGAAACAACTCTCTTGGCCTCAGAGCAACTTTTTTTTTATCAAACTACCCCCTTGCATTAATGTTTCAAACTAATCTAATAAAGATTAGATGAAAAGGCTCAAATGATAAATTTAACAGGATAAAGAGGAAAAAAAGACGATTGTACGTGTTTAGTCTCATTTTGAGACACAGGTGTGGCCTCTGAAAAATTATATGTCCCAAAGAAACAACACCCGACGTTGTTAAGGCAAATTGCGTGGGAGTTAAAAGTTCTGTACTCTAGCCTTTCACCAATGACTCAACCTATTGGAGGGAGATTGCGATTTACTTTCCGGCAGGAAAAAGAGACCGAATGGAAGAAAGCGTCTGAAGCTAACAAGTGCTTTTAGCCTTTCCGGGCCACGACAAAAGATAGAGTGGACAGCAGGTAGAAGGGATTAACTGGGCTTCACCTCCCAATCGCAGCTTATGAACCTCTTGTGTCTGCTGGCTTTAAGGTAACCGAGGCTACGTCCTTCGTTAGCCCGACGGAAAAGCTGCTTGTTTCCTGTCAGATGTCCACCTCAAGTCTTAAAAAAGCAGGCCCATTTCAGTAAACTTGGATTTGAAGTTGCCCTTTAACATTACAGGTTGTTCTCTTTGTTGTTGGAAATTGATCATGGTCTTGTAATTCATCCGGACCCTGAGGCTAAAATTGATCTCCAAGGTGTGAACCTGCCCAAATGTTCCCACAGTGTTCCTTTTTAGCTTCTAAAAGAGTGAACAGAAGAGGAGATTCATATTTTCAACTAAACACTTCAACTGAATGTAAAACTGCCGTTTCAAGATGCTTCTTTGCAACATTTTATCGAATACGTTTAAAAGCAAAGAACAGAGTCCAAGTGCAGATCGTAAAGCGGCCGCACAAATTCAATCTACCAATTTGTGTTCACAGACACCATTTTGTTTTTTTTTGTCCAAAAAACAAACACAAAAAAGTAACGTTGTGTAAGAGTAGTTGATTTAGTTAAAGTAAACATGATTTGCATTAAAATACCACGATAATGACAATTTCAATCAAAACATGCCACATCTCAAGCTTATTAATATTTTATGATTATTATTCAGATTGTGTCTTCATCAGCACTGTTTTTACCAGAGACTGGGCTGAAAGAAATGCTATGTTATGAATTATATGGGACATCAAATCATTATTTTCCTGCTTACAATTGTTTGTCCAATGAAGTTTATGCCAGAAGAATTATGCTCATATACACTCAACAAAGGGATAACGTTTCCAACCGTAAAACAGTTGGAACAATTAATATTTCCTCATATACACTACACAGTTTCATCAAAATATTCAGAGAATCTGGCAACATCTGTGCTCAGAGGATACAGCTGGACGTCCGTATGGTGGGCCTGTGATCTTTGGGCCCCTCTGACATCCCTGCATTGCAAACACACACGATTCTGTGGTGGAAATAACCTACAAATGAAGGTTAAAACTCCATCATTCAACAACAGCAAAAAAACACACAAGAACAAGATCCAGAAACTCTGCCTTCTGGGTCAACGTAGTTTTTAGAAATGGACTCAGGCAAAGTATAAAACGCTCTGTGATCAGACAAATTATGGATGCCACATCCTCTGGAGCGAGGAGGAGGCGAGCTTGTTAACGCTCAGTTCAAAGGCCTGCATCTCTCAATGGGTGCTGTGGAGGTGCCTTAATGCACGTGTAGCTGAGAACTTGCACATCACACAGAGCAACACATGCTCCCGTGTAAACCACTACCACACACTGCTCCCGTTACTGCAGCACGGGCTCACCGTTGAGGACTCTGGGGGCTGAGCGTAAAAAAAACAAAAAACAACAACAACAAAGCATAGCGAGACTATCAATATGCCAAAGTCATTAGCGATAACTTTGAGATATCTTTTTTTAACAAAAGAGAAAAACGTCTCATTTGCAACATCTGAAATGTTTCAGGACTGTGGAAAAACATTTTTTCTAAATTTTCTAAATCTGGTCTTGTTTATTTAAAATGAACAACACTAAAGATATTAAAAAAAAGCTATCTCTGACTCTTTATGGGCTGGGAGAAGCCTAACATTAAATTTGATATTTCACAATTACCAAAAGAACATTACAAATAACACAAACTCCTGTGAAACCAGAATTATCTCGTTATGGCCAATAGCTAAACCGAAGCCGCGTACGGTTTGGAGAAGCAACCTTCTCCAAACTGTACTCTCCTATCAACTTACAAACTTTCATTTAAAACATTTGAATCATTACAGGCTACATACAAAACAGATACCTCCAGGTTAGGCACTATGTTTAAACAAAAATTAAACTAAATCTTTCAGATGACTCTAACTCATTAGAAAAGACTCTTTTAGATAGTCTTAAACGAGTTCATTTTGTCCCAATTTTATTCCAATTTCCTATATCTGATAACGGAAACTATGGGAGACCCAACTGAAAACTACGGTAGACGGTGAAATATGGGGGGAAGTCTTACTCTTACCAGAGAAAATATCTATATGTAACAGATTCAGAGAAATGCAGCATAATATCCTACAGAATGTTTATATATCTCCATACATGTACAGTAAATAGACAGCAGGGGCCTCTCCAAACTGCTTCAAATGTCAAACTATTTTGTGGACAAGATTGCACCGCCTCTGGGAATGTGAAAAGATTAAACTGTTTTGGAAAAGTGGATGTGATGAGGTCAGTGTGATAAGACAGCCCTATAGCCTAATCCAATGTCGTGCTTACTGGAATATAGCCCTGAATTGTTAAGATCACATAAAAACACTGTACATTTTTTGCTCACGTTGGGACGAAAAGCTGTTATTACTAAATGAGTAGATGAACCTCCCTTCGATATATCTGTGGAACGGTCAAATGACTTCTTTAAAGCAAAGCTTGATAAGGTGTTGAGGTACCTGGGAACATAGAATGTGACTGCTTGAAATGTCAAACCTAACAAGGACCGTTGAGATCATTGCCGCTGACGTATTATGGATTTGTCAAGTTAAGACAAACAAAACAAAAAAACTTGAGGTTATTTAACTTACAATCTCATTTGGATATAGCAAAAGCACAGGAAAAATACAATTTTACGACTAATTTTGTAACACTGATTAGTAATCTGAGGTTATCAGCTACCGATAGGACCATCTGCAGTCCGCACGCTGACTCGTGAGAAAGCTCTACCAAAATCATGTTTGAACATTACTTCTTTGATTAAAGTCAGAGTGTGTTGACACAAGGGGTGAAAATCTTGGGAAGAGGTACCTCTAAGCAGTCTGGTGTCATCCTGGAAATGATCATTGGTGAAACCTAAACATAGATATTTATATTCAAAGTGTTATCAAAAGAAAAACAGAACACTTGTTGGCATTAAAAACATTGAGGGGACATTCCTCTGGCATAAACTGTGCTCGCCCGGTGATGCTTTGCAGGCGATTATTACAAGATAATCGCTCTGGCCAGTTTATTCCATTTTAATATGGGACGTGTAGCATAAAAAAGCAGAGGAAAAATATTTTCATTCAGTCTGAGGAGATCATCCGAGGCTTCTCTTGCTAAATGAACACTAAATAAACTAAATGTATCTGAGCTGGAATTTTGGCAGACGTAGATTCCTCTCAATCCTTGCATTTTTATGCCATTTTCCCATATTACTCAAGTCCCCCCAGATTAAACACATGAAGGGATTCAGTTTATAACCTTGGCACAATGCCAATAAAGAGGAACATAATTAGTAACGGTATGTGCGGGAAGACAAGCAGATGCAAGTATTCAAATGGAGGCTAATGGCGTAATGATATTATCAAACTCATCCGTGTGATGAGTTAATCAAAGATAAGCATAGGGCATGGCGAGAAGCTCCATTAGGAGTATACTGTGGTAAAACATGCATTAATGTCCATGCATAAAGAGATTTTGATTGTGCAGCTGACACCATTACACAGCAACATGCAGAAGCACAGTTTGAATGCAACTGGAGAAGAAACATGGACTCTCATCACAAGGTTGGCACCTTCTGCAAATGATGTTGCATGTGTAATATCCGTCATTATGCCTCCCACAGGCCTTAAACTGTGTCCACAAACTTTATACACTTTATACAGTTCAGCTAATGTTAATACTGTTTCTGTAAACTATACAAAATGCGTGTTCCAGTATTGTATCTGAGCAAATATTGATGGTTGCATTTGATATGACTCCTCACGACAGGACCCGTGTCATGTTAATGGACCAGTCCATTCAGTTTTGGAGTCTAATTCAAGAGGATTATCTGCCTGACTGCTAAAACCATTCTTTTCCTTGTGCCCATTTTTGCAGCTCTTGCTTAGGTGTAAATACCTTAATCATGTACGGAGACGGCCAAGAATAGCGTTTCTCTTGTCCGTGCAGGAAATGACCACTTGTAACTATCATGCCTCAAAAGCATGACAACTGTAGTGAGTATGAAAGCCACTGCATGTCGAGGTTGAAAAAGGTTTTAGGTGTTGGGCTTAATTTCTTTACCTCCACAAAACCTGTCAATGAGTGTGGCTTGTATTTCAGTTGCAATCTCCCCTAATAACACCATTGACATTTTGCAAGGCCTCTAAAATCTTCAAAAAACAATATGTCCCACACATTTTTTCACAACTGTGATGGACTGGCTGTCCTCCGGCTGGAATAGGCCTCACCCCTTCTGAACTAGATAAAGAGGGCAAAGAAAATAGATTGTGGCACAAAACGTTGAATAAACGATAGTGTCCTTGATGCCACAGCTTTTGATTCAGCGTCCAGTGGGCTCCCGGCACTGTGGATTAAGTTGTGCGTTCTGTGACCTGTTTCTCTTTCCTGATAGAACTGAAATGAGTAAACAAGGTATAATCGTATGACAAATAAGAAAAAGGTCAACTGCATGGCGTGTGCCCTCAAGTGTGGAACAAGAAAGTGTTCCTCTTCACAAATGGTTCCATGAACGATCCCTAAAAAGTAGACAATTTATTCATGTATAAACCCGCCCGTTCTTCGGGAACTGCGATTGAAGCCGCTGGTCTGCTGTGCTGGTTCTTTACGCGCCTTACTTTGTCAAATCTGCACACTCTAACGTGCAAACTAATTTAATCTCCAAAAGTCAATAACGAGTAAAGATTTTGTTTTGTAAATTACCCTTATCTTGCTCTGTGGCTGTCTTTTAAAGCTTAAATATCTCTGGAAAAGGAGAAAATAGCTTTGGTAAAATAAAAGATGGTGCCAAAAATTATTGAAAATAAAGATTCCCCTCCTGCTTTAAGATCCTGTTTGAGAGTGTAACGTTGGAGAAACAAAGGAGGGGAACCTGAGATCTGTTGCTTTCAACATCAGTCCTTTAATAAATGTCATTCCACTCCAGTTTCCTTTTACATCTGTCAGTGTTTGCTGAATTTTTCGCACTAACTTAAAGTGGGATATTTTCAAGCTGGAATGTCTGATTGAAGTTCATCCGCTGCTGATGCATCTAAAAGCTGGAAACGGAGGTCGTTACACAGCCAAACCGGTGTGTCACTGCTCGTGGGAGGCACCTCTGCACGCGCTCATTCCACTCTGCAGGCAAGCTGTGTGTAAGAACACACAGCGGCCCTGAACTTTCTCTGATTGATCTGCCCAAATTACCAAAGGGGACGAGCAGCGGTTGAATGAGGACCTCTTTTGGGGGGGTTTATAAATCTCTAATCAGTCTACCCTTTTTAAGGCGAAATTAAGACAGTTGTGGACAGTTCCGTCTGACGGGAGGAAGACTTAAACAGATGTAAAGGCATACACTGGCAGGTTTGGCATGCCCAAAAATATTTTTGATCCCCTGTCACACTCCCTTTAATGGAAAAATTGGGTGTTTTTTTTGGTATAACATTACATGGTTTGCAGCCTATTCATCTATCGTTTTTTATATGTAAAATGTACCACATAATCCTTTAACATCGTCACTCTGTTTCCACACCTATAAATGTCGTTTTCCTGAAATTTAATCAGCACTGTAGGTTCAACAGAAAACTTTATTACAAAAAATGTACTATCTCTATCCCTTTGGTATCATTTGAAACGTATACGGTTGCATTTAGTTAACAACTGAAATAATATAAAACTATGCACATTTTTTAAATGATTTTCGTTTATGCTTTTTAAAGGTAAAAAAAAGACTCAGAATGAACCCTTTTACCAAACCGGTCCAGTTAAGCTCAGCAATTGGTTAGAAAAAGCTCATCTCATAATGACCAAATGAAAACAATGACGTTCTTACGGGTCTTTGTTATGCCACAGCACAAATGCATAACAGAAGCCAACAAACAAGGCATCACCACTGCACTGACAACAGCAACACGAGCAACACCAAGCCACAAAACATTCGACACAACTCGACATCGCCGTGAGAGAGAGAGCTTACTTCCTGTGGGGATCAAGTCCCTGTCTGGAATGAAGAGTTTATACCCATAATGCTTCTCCAGCACATCGGGGAGGATCTCCAGGGCAAAGCGCTCCTCCTCTCTGGTCTCCTGGCTCCACTGGTCAGGATCCACTTTGGTGTAGGACAGGTAAGCATCGTAGTCCTTGTTGTCTGCAAGCACAGGAAAGACACACGTGGCTCCGTATTAGTGACTGATGCCAACAGAGCCTTTGGTCTTTTTGAATTGACCAAACAAATACCTTCGTTATACACTATTGTCCAGATGCTTTTCATACCGGTGCACAGAAAGCTAATAATTCACCGGGAGACTTCTTTGAGACAGGAACGCCTCCATTACACTGACCTCTGGGCATCTCTGGCCGTCTTGGGTGCGTTTCATTACAATTCCGTCCCCACCGACAAATTAAGCTGCCTTGAGTAGAGATACTTTGCTCACAGCAGGCAAAACAAATTAGACCCCAGCTTGAGCTAAATGTCCAACACTGCCTTCTTGGGCCAGAGCGTAGTGCTGCTCCATCACCCACATGAAGCAAACACTGATGGCCAATTCTGAAAATGACAAGCAAAGGAGTACTTTCTTTCTTGGTAAAATGATTTAGGTGTGGAGATCTCCCAGAGATTGTAAAGGAGTGGAATGAAAGAGAGGCTATTCTGAGCAAGACAACCAAACCACCTGACCAAGCCTGTCATGCCTCACCCGTAGAAACACCTGCCAAAGCAGAAGATCGCACCGTCTTAGATGATGGGAACTCTCTTTTTATTCCTTTATTCAAAATAAAACAAAATTTTGAAGAGCCTCATTTGATCAGGATTGAGGCAAAAGCTTCTGGGGATCAGGAATCGATTGTTTGAGTGGAAAATGTGTTTTTTGAATTCAGATGAACTGGCCTACTTTCCTCCAACCGCAGTTTGAGAGAACCAAGTTGGATCCATTGTAAATCATATTTTGGCTCATATTAATGAGAAATGAAAAGATCAGATTCTTGTTGTTTCTTTATTCATCTGTGACTGACGCCACAAAGAGAAGGACGCCTGAAAAACTGGGACAGCCCGAGCTGCAGCTGAGGTAAACAGTTTCAAACTACAGGTTCCAGTCCGATTTGCCACCTGTTGAAATTTAATGCGCAGAGACGCTGGAGATGATGGGAAGCAAATTATAAGAAAGTTGGTAGGGACAAAGAAGAGGGAGCAGATGGTTCAAATGGAGGACGTTCAGGATCGACCGTCAGAACGCCATCCCAAATTTAGCCTCTTTTATTATGCCCTCTATTTCACACAGCAGCCCCTCTCTGGAGATGAGAGACTGTCAACAAGATTCACTCACTTTCCACAGGGTAATCTTGATATTTGGCAAGTGCACGCCTCGTAATGAATCTATCTTGTTTTTACAACATGCAATTCCTTTTACAACATCAGAGACATGTAAAAATAATTGAAATGTAACCTCACTTAGTTTAACTAACTCCAAGGCTTAAATTCTGCTTCACTGTGGCATAAATCTCCTTCTCTGGCTTTTCCTCTGGCAGCTTTTAAACAAACGCTGTGTAGGCAGATCAAGACCTATTTTAGTGGAGATGATTCACTCGTCTGTTGCGAGAAAGCGAGTGGAGGGAGATGCAGAGGGGGGATCACGAGGGCTGAGTGACCCCCTCCTTCCCCTCCAGCGTTTCAGCGTATAGGAGACGGCTGAGGCATCTACCTACGATAGCTGCATCCAAATGCTGACTGCAAAGGGAGCGGCTTCGCTCACACTCCTGCGTGTGTGCTCTGCGTATAGAGTGTGCACGTGGAGAGCGCATGCATATGTGCACAAAAAGCCCACAGTTAGTTGTTGAACTGTTGACCTTGCGCTCGAGATTGCCAAGGGAGTTGGAGGCGTAATCTCTGTGTCATCTCTGGGCTCTATTACATTTAATGGAGAGTAGATTGGAATGTAACAAACATACTAAAGAAGTGCACCAAACTGACTGCTAATAAGAAGCTGGGTGCATTTTTCAAACGTAATGTTTTGTTTTCCGTAATTCAATTTCACCAGAAGAATATGGGTCTTTCAGACAGTGGAGAGCACGCCACAGAGATCCACTGATGGTAGTTTTGAATACAAATGGACTTTGCTCCTTGGTGTTTTACTTGCATACAAATGCGTATTCCTAGTTGCATTCATACATTTGCTGCTGACCCTCTAATATGCTCATGGGGTAAACTATGTGAAGCTCTTTCAGATGAACCACATCAACCTCACTGATTTAATCCTAATAACGGAACAGAGAAAAGTGCCATGATTAGAATATGCTCTAATAATAAGATGAAAAATAAAGTATTTGATCATCATTGAGCATCAGTAAGTAATAATTATTGTTACTTGACAAATGTTTGTTGAACAAGTGCTTGCTTTTAACATTTTATCTGCAAGGACAGTGCTTTGTGAAAAAATCTTTTTCGTCAATAACTTAAAGTAGTAGTTTATTGTATATGGCTTGATCAGGCTGTTACATCTTTGTGGTCAACTTTATTTTCCATTGTAGCCTATTGATGTTGGCAGTATATCCTTCTACGCATATCCCTCTCGAGGTCCTACCCCAGTATTGCAATCTAGGATACTTTGGTTCTACCGATTTGGTCTGTTTTGCTGTCACAGACCCTGGATGCCGCTAAGGACACCCACTCCTGGGAAGATTGGTGCCTTTATTGAAAGCTTTCCACTTGTGAACAATTTTCCACAGTGCAGAATAGTGGAGTGAACTGTTTGAACATAGCCTGTAACCCTTTGCAGACTGACGGACAGCAACAATCGCTTTTCTCTTCGGCATTGTGTCATCACACAATTGAATGCTCGGAAATATCCAGCAAACTGAAAAATATTATTTTATTGATATGTTCACACTTGTAAAAGATGATCCGTCATTTTAGTGAATTTGAAAAAGAGCTTAATTCTTATTTTGTTTGATAAGTGAAGTAACAATGTAACATATGTGTTGATGTTTTTCTAAGAAAAAAAACTTTTATTACTCACTGATATGTGAAACCTGCACACTGAACTGGGGTGTTATTACCCTTTCATGTCTACAAATACAAATATTTGACTGATTTCCACAACGAAAGGTAACCTTCCAACCAATCACTTCACCGGCGGTGATGCTTCGGTCAATCTTTGTCCACGTGAATATCTATGCCACACACTGCAAAAGTGAAGAGATCTTTTCTGCTGGATACAGAAAGAATACGCTAATCAAGAAGGATGAATCACAGTTGCAATGTGTGCAAGATGTGAAAACTATCTGTGTTCACTGAGTCTAAACTGCACCGAACACAGACGAGCTTCATAATTCCACACTGCGCCGACAACACTGACATTTGTATTTATGGCAACGTGTTGATGAGTTCCCACCTCTTTGTCAAGCCTGCTTGGCTGTTGTCATCATGAATCCCATTATTGATTCCACTGACACCCACACAATGTGACAAGTGAGCGCTCTTTAACTAAATTGCGCCGCTGACAAATAGCCGACGGTCCGCACTATTGTTGCGTTCGGCTTACCGTTTTACATCTGGTGGAGGAGGGAGGAAGCCGTTCAATTATTACTCGGAGAGGCCGTGATGAAACACTTTCTTGGCAGTATGTGCAGAGTTATGGTGGAGAAAGAGAAAAAAACATCTTTGTGCATTTGAGACTCTGGCTTATGGGCTTTATTGAAGAAAAATGTGCCGGTGCAACTATATCTTATATGCAGCTATTTCATCCTGTCAGTGCGGCAGTTACCATAGTGATGGGATCTCAGTTAACCACCTCTTGCCATTGCTTAGCGACTGATTTTTTCTGCTCTCAGCTGGAAGCCTTCCTTTTTAATCCTTCCCTATTCATCTACAGTACACTGTCACGAGAGCTCTGATGAGTTGCCAGGTGCGGGCGCACGCTTATGAACGGATGTGTGCCAGAGATGGTGGGAAAGACATCTAATCGAACGCGGCACGGAGCAAAGTATCAGTGGTCTCCTGAGAGCTCCACAGGCGGCGTGTTGTGTCTTATTGGACCTGATCCCCTTCTACTGGGTAACAAATTGAAAATCTCTTTCTCCCTTCAAGCACTCACTCTCCAGCTTCACAATTAAAGGAGACAATTGCTGTTTGGCTTTAAGTTCAAGGCCCATCGTTTTTTCACCCTTTTCAACATAACTGCCTCTGGGTCGTTTATCATGGGAAAGTTCCAAAGGGCCCACACAGCCAGAGGTAATGACTTTCATTGAAATGTCTGATGTCGCAGCCATCGCAGTTAAGCAGAGCCGGAGGACTGGTCCAGAGGACTTTTTACCTTTTAACAAACATAACTCTCAAGCCGTCTCCCTATCCATCAGCCTCTCCCAACTAATCTCATTCTCCCTGAATTCATTGCAGTGCTGCTACTTTAGGGACTCATTACATGGGAATCAAATTAAAACTTGCTCCTTGTCTCAGTTTGATGCATTCCTGAGCAAAGGCTCATCCACCAGGTCCAATCACAGGTATTTTTTCTTTTACTGATGCCGATGAGGCCTGAGAGGCAACGTTGTCTGGCACAGGAGCTGTGTTTTGATTTGCGTTATATAGTGTTCTGCAGAATATATCCCCCTATAGCTCCTCTATTCACATCTGCTATTGGCCAGAAAACACAAGAGAGCCACCCCCACGAGACACTGCCCAATCACAAACACCAGGGCAAATAAGTCCTCTTGCAACCACAGAAAAAGAAAAAAGCAGAACCTGCCCCAGTGAGAACTTGTCACAGCTGTAAAATCTGATCCTTCCAGACAAAAACAGTACCAGAGGACAGTTTTGTCAGAGGCAAAAAAAAACTAAAAACAAACAGGATGTGTGCCTTTGTGGTCGAAGCCACTGTGGTTTGACTCATTGTGCATGGTTCAGAAACTAACACTGTAAAGACAGGGGGCTTCGCTTCGAGAATACATCACGATGCATCAATGAATGCTTTTAAAAGGGCAGCAGGAGCATCAGTTGTTTTAAGAACAAATGTCGCCATTAGCACCACGGCATAATAGAGGGCAAAGAAAACAGAAAAATACACAACTAAATGTACGCTCAAGATGACTTAAATTCCAAAAACCTTTTCGATGCCGTGGAAAATGAAGACAAAACCAATCAGATAATTAATAATAATCAGAACTTTGCTGGTTGAAGTTCAACAAATCAAATACTGATGAGGTGCTGCTGTCTAGGGAGCGTTTTACTGAAGATGCAGCAGTTTTTTAAATGGCTGATCCAGTGGGAGAATTTGTGAGGGGGCTCAGCCATTCAGTCTGATAAAGCATCTGCACATCTGCATAGGAATGGTACCATCTGCAGCTTAAAGAAATGAGAAATTGCCCAGGTGTTTTCCAAGTAATAAGTCTCAGTGCCGCATTGAAACTGTTCAGGAGTTGGATGAGATCCCCTCTGGGTAAAGACAGGATGTTTTCACAGTGATGGAAGTTGCCATGGAAATCATTCACTGCAGAATGAACACTTTCATAATATAAGAGAAGTGCTATCGCTCATCTCATCTCATCTTACCTCCATCGAGGTCTTCGCTTCCAAAATGGTTCCTGTAGAAGAGCATGAGCTCAATCCGGTAGCACTTGTACAGCGTCACCAGGCAGATCAGCAGGAGCAGGATGGCTCCCAGACCTCCCGCTAACTCCACCGTGTACATCAGCTCTGCTAATATTCCAGAGATACAGAGAAGATGGGAAAGAAAATACACATCTATTATCACGTTTGAACAAGTCAGATACAAATACAGAGACAGGTCAAAACATGGTTATTAACACTAAGGAGTTGGAGTTACTTTTGTCTTTATGTATGAAAAAACAAAAACAGGACAGGGCAAATAAAAAAAGAAAGAAGGAAAATAAATAAAGTTTTGCTTTACCATTTTGAGCGGAATCATGTAAATTTCCCTATCGGCCAGTTTTAATAGAGTAACAGTGTGGCAAACTCGACCGTTGGGAAATGTAAGAAGAGCAGCCCGAGAGAGAGGAGACGGAAAAACGCACGTGCAGGATCAGTGTTTTTCTACAGAAGCAGTAAAGATTAAAAAGATAACGACTTCAAAGACAAATGTTTAAAATAAAAGCAGGGAGCCCTGCAAAGGTGAGTATCTGGTTCAGCTGTGTTGTATCCTTTGTGGTTTGTTATTTTTTTGTTGCAGCTTTCTGCCAGCAGAAAGCACAGGTTACCATCTCTTTGCAATGTGTGGAATTCCACTGATATGCTATAAGGTCAGTCTTCACCTGCCAGCTTTACTCTGGGAGATTTTTTCTGGGGAACTAAGAACTTCAATAGTTTTATTTAAAAAAAACAAAACAAGTAAAACATAATTTAGCTATAAAAATTGGTTTTACTGTCATTTCTTCATCATTTTTCACAATCTCTTGGTGCTCCTTTTTGCAGAGAATTGTATGTGTTGATAAGAATGTTACATAGAAATGTATAATCTTCCAATTTGAATTGGGCTTTTTCAAATACATTCAACGTTCATGTTCACAGGTCAAACATACACACAGAAATTAGTTTTTTTTTTTCAAGTCACTTTCCCTCCGTATATTTTAAGTAATTCATTTTTATGAACTTTTATTCCCATGAGAAGCCTCAGTTGGCACCTTCTTACATTTTCTTTCCGCTTCTATAGTACGTAAGATCAGGTGTGCATCCCACAGAAGCACCTCCATAAGGAATCACTATAAAGGAAATAGGTGATGAAGTCAGAAAAGAAAAGCTGTCGTTGCTGACGTTAAAAGACTGCATGTTTTGAAGTGTCATTCCCCTCCACATTTGTTTGTAAAAGGCTTTTATACATCTTCTGTGGCTCTATTCATTCCGGCTGTGTCAGTTTGTCTTGATTTCCGTCTTTTCATGCTGCTCATTCCAGCTCGATTGGATCCGGATGAAACATAACTCAAAGCGGAAAGAGAGCACTGCCGCTGCCATACCTGTCGTTTAATGCTTCCTGGCTTGACTTGGATGATAAAAAACTCACTCTGTAGCAACCAGTGCAACAACGGCATGTGACAGATCACACTGCCACACTTATGAAGATGGGTTATGTGTGCGCACAGCTGCAGAGCTGTAAAGCTCCCGGCCGCTGGCTCAAACAGCCGACAGATCCAAGCAGCCCGCTCACACTGCCATCTGTCCTCACCGTCGCCTGACAGCTCATGGAACATGAAAAGGTTCAGGGGAGGCCAGATTCTTAGAATTACTTAACAGCGTTGATTATCTGGTTTGATATCCGAGTAGCAGCAATGGTACTGCTTTAGAA